CAGAAAAACCCTGTCTAGAAACATGCTGCCCCCCCCCACTCCCGCAAATAAAAGAGGCCGGGTTGTCTAGAGCCATGTGCTCAGTTATCAGCAGCCCTGGACAGGGCTGGGGTATCCTTAGGCAGGAAGTATATGGTGATAAGGACAAGGCTTTGGACTCGGAGAGCAGTGTGTAGGGAAGGGCAGGGCAGGGCAGGGATAGAATGCAGCCTTCTTGGGGCCCTGGTGGACCTTGATTATTAATGGCATTGGTGACTTTATAATTTCCACCCTAGGAGCTCTAAAGCCTGAATTTATTGCCTAAAAAAGTTGTGCTCAACAATTGCAAATCCCCAAAGTGAGTAAATGTAGAAAAAGAAACCTCAAAAGCATAAATATTGGAAAAAGGAGAAAATGATGGTTATTAGCAATTGACTCCCCGACCTCCTGCTGAGGGATGCACGCTGTTTGTGTCCGGGTTCTGGTCCCTGTTCTGCTCTTGCAGCAGCCGACACTACACAGCTCTGGTTTGTCTTCCCTGTCACAGAATATTCCATGCAAAGACTTTACTGCATTTTATTTTTCCTTTACACTGCCGCAAGGTATTTCTGGTAGGTTGCTTCAGTTTATTCAGTTTGTTGGGTTTTTGGTGTTGGAACGGAACCCAGGCTCTCTTGCATGCCTGGGAAGCCCTCTGAGCCACGGCCAAGCTGCTTAGACTCATGTGCAACACCAGTCTAATCACCATGAGTAATGTGATTATATCAGTCTGAGTGTAACTGCTGGATCTTAGAATAATGTAGTTTCTTCAACTGTAGAATGAACTGCCCAGGTATTCTCTGCAGTTTCTACTTTTACTACTGTATGAGAGTTCTCATAGGTCCAGGTATTCAGGAAATTGGTACAATTCAGTATCCATTTTTTTTTTTTTTGGTTTTTCGAGACAGGGTTTCTCTGTGTAGCTTTGCGCCTTTCCTGGAGCTCGCTCTGTAGGCCAGGCTGGCCTTGAACTCACAGAGATCCGCCTGGCTCTGCCTCCCGAGTGCTGGGATTAAAGGCGTGCGCCACCACCTCCCGGCTTTCAGTATCCATTCTTGATTTTTTTTTTCACAAATTCTTATTGAGCTGAGACCGTATCTCAGTGATAGAGCACATTCTTAGCATACCCAAGGTCTTGGGTTCAGTCCCCCTAACCCAAACTAATAAATAACACACACACACACACACACACACACACACACACACACACACACACACACACCACTTTAAAAATTACTATGGCTATTTCCTTAACATGAGAATGCATTTATCTCAACTATAAAGTTGATACTTAGTGGGGGAAATAGTAAAGGAGTCCTATCAAAATCAGGAGCAAGACAGCGATATCTACTATCATTACTTAGCATTAATCTGGAGATAAGAGCTAATGAATCAGACAATAGAAAGAAAGGACCTCACCTGCAGAGTTCTTGCCTAGCATGCAGGAGGCATGTCATTGGCAAGGGGCTGGGAAGGAGCTTAGCTGGTAGAGCACTTGCCTAGCATGCCTGAGGCCCGAGTTCCATCCCCCAGCACCTCATAAAACATGCATGTTTGGAGGGCAGAGGCAGGAAGGTGAGAAGTTCAAAGTCATCCTTGGCTACACAGTGGGTTTGAACCCAGCCTGTAAAACATGACACTGGAGAGAGAGAGAGAGAGAGAGAGAGAGAGAGAGAGAGAGAGAGAGAGAGAGAGAGAGAGAGAGAGAGAGAGAGACACAGAGAGACACAGAGAGACAGAGAGAGACAGAGAGAGACACAGAGAGAGAGACAGAGAGAGACAGAGAGAGACAGAGAGACAGAGAAAGACAGAGAGACAGAGAGAATATCGTTATATTATATTACATTTGTATCTAACAAAAAGCAATGAGTTTAGAAATGTGAGTCACCTAAGTGTTGTTAAAAATGATAAGAGAATCCAGTAAGGGTTCGAACTCAGAAGGTAAAATAACCAATCCCTTGCAGGGAAACAGGCAACAGTGATCAGGCCTATGGAATAAAAGACCCCTTTTCCACAGCAGCAAGAATTATAAAGGGCCCGGGGTTTGATCTGATACACAAAGACACGTGCATATAATTAAAAATAAAACAAATCTTTAAAAAAAAAAAAAAAGAAATCCATATTGTAGTATGTTGTTATGGTAGGACTTCCCGTCTGATCACGCTGGCTAACGTCAGAAAACAGAGACATGTCTAGCATGCAGGAGGCCCTGGATTCCATTCTCAGCACCGAAACAACCAACCAACCAAATAAGCTATGGCTGTGTCTCAATTGCCACCCGACTCACAGCCACGATAAATAAGGTCTGATTGCAAAGCGGCCAGGCTAAGCGTCAGGGTAAACAAGTGCACCTCCAGGGCCCGTCCACCTAAGGCTGACTGTCTTCCGGGAGGGGATTCTGGGTGAGAGAGACTGTCTTCTGGACTGCTTAAAATGTGAAACTGGGCACATGTCCACATGGAGAGGTGAAATTTCATACGGCCCCACCCCTAGACGTTGAACTACATGTAATTAATGACTTCGGGGAGAGGGAGAGGTAGCCTCTCCCACGGCTGGGCCCCTTATTGGTTGTCCACTGACGAGCGGTCAGCCCTGAGAGCATACACACAACAAAAACGGGGCCAGCAGGCTGTATTTACATGTTTGTGAGTGAGTGCGTGCGTGCGTGCGTGCGTGCGTGCGTGCGTGCGTGCGTGCGTGCGTGCGTGTGTGTGTGTGTGTGTGTGTGTGTGTGTGTGTGTGTGTAACAAATAGTCAAATAAAAAAGAGCTCTAAACCTGAAAGTGGTGGGAAGGGCGTGGGAGGGGCTTGAGGGAGGGAGGGGCTTGAGGGAGGGAGGGAGGGGCTTGAGGGAGGGAGGGGCTTGAGGGAGGGAGGGGCTTGAGGGAGGGAGGGGCTTGAGGGAGGGAGGGGCTTGAGGCAGGGGAGCTGGAAGCGGGGAGGAAAAGGGTTCTACAGAGGACCAATAGAAGAGAGAGGGAAAGGGGAAGGTACAAAGGGTACAAGGAGGCATGTGCTCAATATGAAGTATATACATGTACAAAAGCTTTTAAAAATTAAAATATGGATCGGTGAGATGCCTCATAACCAGGACCAACGTGGTGAGAGGAGGGAATCAACTCTTGAAAGTCGTTCTCTGATATTTACATACATACCATACTCTGTGCCTCCACCCCCAAGTAAATAAATAAAAACAACAAAAATTGAAAAAAATATGTAAATTAGAAACACAGCTTGGGAAAAAATATAAAATGTGGACTGGGATATGGTGGCCCACACCTGTATTTTTAACCCGCTGTGGAGGCTGAGGCAGGGGATTACTTAAATTCAGCAGTTGCAATCGAGGCAATGGAACATAGTAAAACCCATCTCTTCAAATAAAATTAGGACTGGACTGTAGCTCAGTCCAGAGCCCATGCTTAGCACCCCTAAGGCTCTGGGGTCCAATCCCAGCACTGTGCAGAAACAAAACAAAAACAACTCACCCAGCAAAGCAGAACAGACCCTCACCCATATCCCACAGAACTCCTAACGGAAATCCCAGTTAAACACTCCCCCAAATCTGTAAAGATGACCTTTAAAAACTAAAAATTCTATACTTTTGAAACACAGTGTGCAAATAATGATAGTAGAATCTGCATGATGCAGAAAGCATTTACAGGATATTTGTAAGAGAGACTGAGGCAATAGGAGCAGGCAGGAGACAGGGAAGAGCCTGCCTCTTCCTGCATTCCCTTCCACAGGTTTGAATGTTGCTGAATTCTAATTATTTTCAAAAGAAAAATGTCAACTTACATTTTAGGAAGTTCACCACTCAAGTAACTTAACAGTACAAGAGATGGTTGACATTTCTTGAGTACCTACTGTGTACCAAGAGACTTACTAGCAATTCTGTGGGCATCCTAATTAACTGGACTAATTTCTGGTGTAAGAAGTACCTTTCCCCCATTTTCCCAGAGGAGACTCACATCCTTGGAAGAGGGTCTAAGGTCTGCAGAGCCATAGCTTATGACTATGGCAGCCTGAAACTCATCCTGGCAGGACGGAGAAGGGGCCCGATGGCCTGAAATGTTTGGTATCCCCTCTTTGACCTAGAAAGTCTAGGAAGTTGAGGTGCTCTGGGAGAACTGGGAGGCCACCCAGGGCAGGTCTGGATGCCCCTCTGTACTGCCTCCCAGGGGCCACACAGCCCCAGGCAGGAGTTAGGAAGCTCCATGATGTGCGGCCAGGCTGCCTGTGGCACCTGGGCTGGCCTTGGTGTACTTGCCAAGCAAACACAAAATGTATGTCCCTGCCCAGTGAGGGGACCCCAGACATCTGGAGCTCTCCTCGAAAGACTGTTCTGGACTCTCCTGAAAAGACTGTTCTGGACTTTCGCTTCCCTGACCTTAGAGGTCCTTGGGTCTGATGCTACTCCAGATGGTCTCTACTCTGGAGGTCCTAAGATGACATCCTGCTCCCATTGCGGTGTGCTGCCCCAGCCCTCACCTGGCAGACCAACCTCTGGAGTCAAATCATAAGAGCCAGAGAGTGGGAGGGGACTGAGGGAGCACCAGGCTTCTCTCTGACCTCAGCCCTCATCCCCAGCATGATGGGGCCACTGCCCTCCCCTAGGCCCTTAGCACTGGCCTAGAGCCAGGAAAGGCATTGGGTTGAGAGCACCAGACTTCATTCCAGGGGTCCTCTCTCCTGGAATGGGCCAAAGACCTGGTTTGGGGGCTTCTTTCCAGTCTCAAGCCTGACCTGGGTCAGACCCAGGCAGGAGTGGTGGGGACGACAGCTGCTCTTCTGCATGACAAAGGGTGGCCCTGCTGGAGAGCCATGGAACACACCAAGTCTTGCAATCCACTATGGCTTTTCTCTTTAGCCCCCGACTGAGGTTGCCAGAATCCGCAAATAAAAGCTCTAGATACTGGTGTAATGCAAATCATAGGTAAACAGTGAATAATATATTAGTGTAATCATGTCCTGAATTCAGTCTCGGTTTTATTTAGCAGCTCTACTCCTGGTGGGCTGCTCAATTTTATTTCTCTAGTACAATTCTTCAGCCAGCTCGCAAATCCACATTCAGGCGTCCGGCCAGTGTCTTGGAGGAGGCTTAGTAGACTGAGGAATATAGCCACACACACCCCACGCCCCTACTCCTGCCACACACATGGCATTGAGTCCTTCTAGCTTTCTTCAAGTGCCTGAGCAGACTTGGCAGAAGATAACAAGAGATATGGAAAGCACTGACTATTGTGGGCACTAATCTTTTTTTTTTTTTTTCCATGACAGGGTTTCTCTGTGTAGCCCTGGCTGTCCTGGAACTCGCTCTGTAGACCAGGCTGGCCTTGAACTCAGAGATCCGCCTGCCTCTGCCTCCCGAGTGCTGGGATTAACGAACAGTGTGTGCCACCACCACTCAGCAGTGGGCACTGATCTTTATGTTGCCCCTTCTCTGAGCTGCTATTCTCAAAAATTGGGGGAGGGTGGACTTTCAACTTTAATTCCCATAGAGGAAGGAAAGGAAAGGATGGGGCTCCTTACTGGCCAGCCCCAGGCTTTGTGACCAAGGAATCCTCCCCAAAGTGGGACATGCTGGCTCTTATCAGCCCCAGAAGTCTTTGGAACACCTGGCCAGGTGTACTGCGAGGCAAGTCGGTTGGAGAGCCCAGGTGTTGATTGGCATGTGGATCTTTCCAGAGTTTGGAAGCAGCAATGAACAAGATTATAGGTGCACATTCCAGACACTGGGAGCAGGCACCCAGCAGAGAATGAGCCCTCCGCCGAGATCAGCCCCTCAGTCTGTGCTGAGGTTGAATTTAGGACTTCACGTGTGCAGGGCGAGTGCTCTACCACTGAGCTATTACTTCGTCCACCTTGAATATCTTAACTGGTCAGGCACCCTTAAGTCAATGTTGAGGCATATTGACAGACAGTAGTGGCCAGATGTTCGAGTCCAGACAGGTCTTTGTGTCCTTTCTAGACAGCCCCTCCTCAGGGTTCAGGGGCTTGTTTCATGCTGAGCTCCCAGGAGGTCCCAGGGGTGTGACCTCTCTCCTCCTTCTTCCCCACCCCCCACCCAGGGCCAGCTATATAGCTGGTCTGCACCAGCCCTCAGTAGACTCAAGACCCTTTCAGGACACCTCAGGGATACACACATCCACAGCTCCTCCTCCTGGGCAGCACCATGCGGTCCCTAGGGCTCTGCTGGGCACTCTGGGCACTGTCCCTGGTTGGCCCCGGGGCAGCTCTGACTGGAGAGCAGGTCCTGAGCAGCTTACTGCAGCAGCTGCAGCTTACTCAGCCGCCGGTCTTGGACAAGGCTGATGTGGAGGGGCTGGCCATCCCCTCCCACGTGAGGGCCCAGTATGTGGCTCAGCTGCAACACAGCCACGCCAGCCGCTCCCGAGGGAAGAGGTTCAGCCAGAACTTTCGAGGTAAGCCTTCCCACGTCCTTCATCTCTAGGAAAGGCAGGCTCCCCATGCCCTCCCATCTGTGGTGTCAATGGGCCCTTGCTTTGTGGGGCTCAGAATGGAAGTCATGGGGTCATAGTCTGAGGGGGTTGCTAGAGGGTGTGCAGATCTGGGAGGGTGCCTGGGTCTGAGACCTGGCTGCACACTGAAGGACCCTTGGGGGAATAGGAAAAGGGGGGCTGAAACTGCTGGGAAATTCAGGAGCAGAGAGAGGAGAATGGAGGAAAACAGAGCCCCAGGAGAGGTCAAGGCCACACAGAACTTCTTGGGGCCACCACCTGGAATAGTGGCAGACTATGTCTTGCCATGGACAGAGAACAGTGACTGGGTAGAGGCGGTCCTGGGTAACAGAAAGTTTGGAAGAGTGAGAGCACAGGCATCCCAGGGGCCAGCATGGTGGCACCGCCTCTTCCAGCTGGAATCAGTCCTAGGGCACAGCCACACCCCCAAATTCATTCTTCTATGGTACCGAGGCCTGGAGACATAAGGATGCTGGTTCTGAGCAGGCTATAGAGATGACCGCTGAGGACAGGTGTAGCCGGAAGCTCAGGTGAGCACCTTGCTCTCCTAGAGCCTCGGGTGTTAGGGAACACATTGACTGATGCCATTTAGGAATGTGACAAGTCCTTAACGTTTGCACTAGGGTTCAGTGGTCCTGATAAAGATGTTCACAGGCTCCTGTTCCTCTTTCATGGATGTGCCATTGAGCAGAAATCCTCATGAGAGAGTCTGCCCCTTAAGAAAGGAGGCGCAGTTTCACTAGTGACCTTGAATTTCCAGTCTCCAGCCTCTGCTGCCTGACTCTGTCTGTACTCCTCACCCATCTTCTCCGCAACCTTCCCTAAAGAACCCTGCAGTGCTGAGCTCTTGAACCCGGTCAGCTCCTTCCTTCCACCAGGGGTAGAAGTGGATAATAAAAAAGACACATCTCCAACGGATTGTTTCAGCATCCAGGGCCTCATTGCAAAATTTACAATCCCTAGATAGGGAGAGGTACCCCTTTTTCACTGTGTTCATGGGCTTCCGGCTCCCAGTTCTCCCGCGGATTAGAAAGGAATCTTGGCCTCGGGTCTTGCCGCTCTGGAGGTTATCTGGTGCCAATAGAGGCCCGGCTGACTCTGTCCATGTTCACAGAGGTGGCAGGCAGGTTCCTGGTGTCCGAGACCTCCACGCACTTGCTGGTGTTCGGCATGGAGCAGCGGCTGCCGCCTAACAGCGAGCTGGTGCAGGCCGTGCTGCGGCTGTTCCAGGAACCAGTCCCCAGAACTGCTCTCCGGAGGCAAAAGAGGCTGTCCCCTCACAGTGCCCGGGCTCGGGTCACCATCGAGTGGCTACGCTTCCGCGAGGATGGCTCCAACCGCACCGCCCTCATCGACTCTAGGTATTGGCTGTATCTCTCTCTCTCTCTCTCTCTCTCTCTCTCTCTCTCTCTCTCTCTCTCTCTCTCTCTCTCTCTCTCTCGGGATTGGGGAGCTCGGATCGGCCTTGGACAGGGCGGGACTGGAGACTCCTCCAGGGCCTCCCTGACATCCTGCTAGTCCCCTCGCCTGACGCGCAGCTGTGTCTCAGGCTCGTGTCCGTCTACGAGAGCGGCTGGAAGGCCTTCGACGTGACCGAGGCCGTGAACTTCTGGCAGCAGCTGAGCCGGCCGAGGCAGCCACTGCTGCTGCAGGTGTCGGTGCAGAGGGAGCACCTGGGCCCGGGGACCTGGAGCGCACACAAGTTGGTCCGGTTTGCTGCGCAAGGGGCGCCGGGCAGCGAGGGCCAGGGCGAGCCACAGCTGGAGCTGCACACGCTGGACCTCAAGGACTACGGGTAGGAGCTGTGGGTTAAATTGATAAGCGAAATCCAGAGACAAATGGGAAATTTGACTTAACTGTGAAATGTCAGAGTTTCAGAGTGTGTGAATATTTAGAAAAGTCACTCGGGCTGTTAGGAAGCCCCCAGTAAATGTTATTTACTTTTAGTTCTAGCCACACCCACGTAAATATCCAATTCAGGTGTTTCCTTTGCTGTGGCGCTAGGGTTGGAACCCAGGGCTTCACAATATACCAGTGCTCTCCCAGTGAGCTATACACTCAGCCCAATTCTTGAATACTGCGAGAGCTTTTTTTTTTTTTTTTGAGACAGGGTTTCTCTGTGTAGCCCTGGCTGTCCTGGAGCTAGTGCTGTAGACCAGGCTGGCCTTGAACTCTCAGAGATATGCCTGCCTCTGTCTCCCAAATGCTGGGATCAAAGACCCGTGCCACTACCGCCCAGCCCAGTGGGGAGCTGGATCTTAAGTCTCCCTCCCAGATGCCCTGATTTTAGCCTTCTCAGCTGACCTCTGCTGTCTCATTCCCACAGAGCTCAAGGCAATTGTGACCCGGAGGTGCCTGTGACTGAAGGCACCCGATGCTGTCGCCAAGAAATGTATCTGGACCTGCAGGGGATGAAGTGGGCGGAGAACTGGATCCTCGAACCCCCAGGGTTCCTGACTTACGAGTGTGTGGGCAGTTGCCTGCAGCTCCCAGAGTCCCTGACCATCAAGTGGCCATTTCTGGGGCCACGGCAGTGCATTGCCTCAGAGATGACTTCCCTGCCCATGATTGTCAGCATTAAGGAGGGAGGCAGGACCAGGCCTCAGGTGGTCAGCCTGCCCAATATGAGGGTGCAGAAGTGTAGCTGTGCCTCTGATGGAGCGCCCATACCCAGGACGCTGGAGCCATAGGCACAGGAAGTGGAGTCCCCAAGGATGTGACTTCCATGTATATCTGAAGTGTTCTATTGTACCGGGAGAGATGGGGATTCTGAATCCCTGAGGGGGCTAATGCCTGTCTGTGCTCTTTGATGAGCTCTGCTTTTGCCTCCTCTGGACCTGCCTCATCCCCTAGCTTTTACCTTCAAGGAATGTGACTCACTGGCCACTAGGGGGCCCTACCTAGTCATCTCTGTTCTTCATATTGTTCACTGCACTATATGTTAAAGCACTTACATGTATAGTTACTGTAAGCTAAGGACAGAATTCCTAATTGTCCCTGGATCTGGGCTGAGCCCCGGTCTTAACTTTGGACCTAAGAAACAAGTGTATCAAACACGCTCAACCTAGGTAATACGGACTTTGCTAGATGTGAATAAAATATATTTTGTTCTGTAACTTTTGTTGTTGTTTTGTTTTTTGAGACAGGGGCAAAGGCAGGTGAATCTCTGAGTTCGAGGCCAGCTTGTTTTACAGAGCTGGTTCTAGGACAGCCAGGGCTACACAGGGAAACCCTGTTTCAAAAAAAAAATCAATGTCATTCATAATTCTAGAAGAACGAGGCTCACTCCTCTCAGACTGATACAGGGAGCATTACAGATTGTCTGGAACATGCAGGATACCACGTTTACAGAGACTTTTTTTTTGTAGCTACCTCAGTTAGGCTTAACATTGCATGTCAGTAGGTCTCGCTCCTTGGGAAGCTCCTGATTTCTGTGCTATAGGATGCAGTGCCTGTGACCCTGACAGTTGCTCCTAGCTGCAAGCTCAATACGACAAAAACAAAGTGTGTGTAGATTCAGCTTATTTTGCTGAGTCCATTCATTCTAACAGGATTCAGACATCAGAGGGAAAGAGACTGTAAAGAAATAAGCGATGCAGGATCTCAGCCCAGGGAAGGGAACTTTTAGTCTCCCTGCCAGTCTGCACAGCTGCTAGCTGAAAATCCCATAGTCTGTCTGTCTCCTAACACTTCTCATCTTGACTCAGTAAATAGGAGCGATCCTCAACTTCCATAGTTGTGGTTTGAGGAACCAATGCTTTAATAATTACTTTACACACTGATTGGCACATCTGAGCTAGTCCAACTCACACCCTGGATTTGTTTATTTTGAGAGGGTCTCAATTTTGAGTTGCCTGTTTGTTTTTTAATTTTAGTATTATTATTTCTTTGAGACAAAGTGTCATGCAGCTTAGGATGGTCTCCAACTCCATAGGCAGTCAAAGATGACCTTAAATATTTTTAAAATTAAATTGTGTGTGTGTGTGTGTGTGTGTGTGTGTGTGTGTGAGAGAGAGAGAGAGAGAGAGAGAGAGAGAGAGAGAGCCAGCATGTGCTGTGGAAGTCAGAGGGCATCTTTTGGGAGGTGGTTCCCTCCTTCAACAGTGGGTTCTGGGGGTTCAGACTCAGCTTGTCAGGATTTCATGGCAGAGGCTTTGACCCCCAGAGCCATCCTCTTGGCCTAGACTTTGAACAGTGTTGTGATTACAGGCTCACACCACCATGGCTGGTTATATGGAGCTAGGCATCCAAAGCAGGCTTCATGCACACTCCCCAAGCACTCTGCTAGCTTGAGCTACACTTCTAGCCTCCAGTTTACTGCTTTCTTTATGACAGCTCACACTCTGACCCATCACATCACAGCCTTCTCTGGACTTTTAGACAACTGTCACCTACTGAAGAGCAGCCGTAGGAAAGCCTTGCCTTCCGTTATCAAGCGCCCTAACCTGTTCTCTTCTGTGGTAGTGGTGCCACCGTCCATACTAATAGGACTAGGGCTAGACCCCAGGACACAGGCCAGGCAGGTGTCAGCATCATCAACAAAGGCAGGAACTGAGGGCTAAAGATGTGTGGAGCGGGAGCAGGGAGAAAAGACAGAATCCATCTGAGGAGCCAGGGGAATGAGCAGAGATCTAGAGAAGCCAGGCAGCAGCAGAGCAGGGGCACGGCCAGGCAGAGCTGGGGGAAGGCAGGACACAACAGAGTTCTGGGAAATAACTGTTAGCTAGGCGCTTAAGGGAGAGCCGATGGAAGTCTGAGGGAGGAAAGACGCCCTGTTTCAGATAGCCACTGGCTAGAATCAGGGACAGGGAGGTGGCGAGGATATTTTTATCTTTACAGTAGAAGATGAAAGCTCAGACATGGAAGTGAGGTCAGAGAAGAGGCAAAGCTGTGCCCCGGGGAACGAGGAGCTGCTCAGGCATGAAGTTGGCTAGTGCTGGCAAGGACTCCACCGCCAGCTTTGGTTCCACTCTTTTCCTTGTGGAAACTGAGGCCTGCAAGTGGGTAGTTTGCAGTAGTGGTCCTGCCACAGGTCCATTCCCCTAGCACATCCAACGACGGTCCTGCCCTGGGTGAGGGGGCAAAGCAGGTGCAGAGGCCGCTGGTTCGCTGGAAACCTCCAAGTCCCAGCCAGAACACACCGGATGCTCAGCGTGTTTGGCTCCAGTTAGCAACGTTGGTGGCCTGGGCCGGAGCAATAAGTCGTGGTCCCAGGGAACGCTAGAAATGCTGTATTTTATTTAGGGCAGGACAGAGCTCTGGAACTTTCAAGGTCCCGGCTCCTTACCGCGGCGGGCCTCTCTGTGGCTACAGATGGCTGGGGGCAGGGTAGGTCTACAGTGCCCCGGTGCTCTCCCGCACTGCGCCCCAGCTGGGCCAGCTTATGAAGTTCCTGGGGACACTCAACCCCACACAGAGCCGATCACGAACGTTTGCAGATACTCTCCCGCGCCGCGACCATCCTAGGCTTGGCCCAGTGTCCTCTCCGTGGGGAGGTGCTGGGGCACAAAGGAAAGCAGCAGTCTGGAGACGTCCTCTCCCGGCCTTGTGGGCGTTAAGCTGGTCTGATCCCGCCCGCAGACCTCGGCGAGGACCGCCCCGCGTGGACCAGGGCTAGAGAACCACAGACGGGCTCACTGCCTGGCGCACGGTCTTGGCGGTCCAGCTGGCGCCGGCGCGGGCGAAAGAGTCCAAATTAGGTAAGGCGTGGACGCAGCTCTGCGCATGTGCAAGAGGCGCCGGAGTTTCACTTTGTAACTTTTAAGTGGTGGGGACGCTGCCCCGCCCCGCCAGGTACCGCCAGACCACTCCCCTCGGCGCGCGCCGCCGCCGCCGCCGCCGCCGCCGCCGCCGCAGGTAAAGTGGGAAGGGGAGCCCAGCTAGGGAAGGTCGCGACCCGCCGCTCCCAGGACGCGCCGGCCGGGGTCCACACCGGGCAGTACGCCTCGGGTCGCCCTCCCTGGCGGCTGTCCGGGTGACAGGAGCCGGGCAGGTGGCTAGAGGGTGCCAATCAAACCCCGCGCCGCTGGGACTTCCTGACAGCCTAACCTGGCTGCGTGGCCGACACGTCCCTCCCTGTTCCTCCGCCGGCTTTGGAGTTTGTCTGCCGGGTCCGATCTCCCCGCCTAACTCGGAGGGCAGCCTCGGAGTCCTCTCTAATTCCTTACGAGGCTAGACCCGGCTAGAGTATGGGCTTCGTACGGTCCTGGTGACCACTCCTGCCCTGGTAGCATCCGGGGGAGGAAACCTGGGGACTTGGGCAAGGGCGGGGGAAGGGGGCGCGGGGAAGAGCCCGGAGAGCTGCGACCGTAAAGAAACCACATCCGACAACTTATCCAGGGACCTGATAAGCCTGGCTACCTGAGACCTCGGGTGGGGTGGAGTTGCTGTCTTTCAACCCTAGGCAGGGACCAAGAGCTGTAGGGACTTTTGCAAAGGACCTGGGAACATATTTACTGTCCTGAAGCTCTGGTTGGGTCCCAGGGACTGCCCTGTTGAGGGTTTTTTGGGGGTGTGTGTGGTGGAAATGAGGTGGTGTAATGCTGAGCATTTGCGTATATGTATGTTCATTGAAGATGGATGGTGACTACTGCTAAGCATGGGCACCTAGGTAGGACTCCTGAGCCCACAGTGACTAATTGCTTTCTTTTCTTTTTTTTTAAAGACACCCCCCCACACACACACACTTCTTTCGTGGTGGTGGGGTTGGAACACAGGCCTTGCTGCACATTCTAGTTTGGCTTCCACACCCCTAGAGGCTTCTCAGTTTGGTCTGGTTGACCCTCAATGGGTGCGCTCCCACCTGCCCTCTCAGAGCAAGTTCCTTTGGGAAGGCAAGAAAGGGCTGGCTTATTAAGAGCCTCGAGAATGTTCCAGGAGCAGCCTCTGACTTTTCCCTCAGCTGGGGGTGGGGTGGGGCGGGGTGGGGGGTGGGAACTGGTTGCCCCTGGCTGGAAGAGCTGAAGGTCTGACACAATGGTTCCTCCTCTTTTCCCTTTCCAAGCCTTCCTTGTTTGCTCTGCTGCATTTGATTTCCCTGATTGTAGCCCTTGGGGGACACTGAGGTACAGCAGCAGCTGCCCTTGGTGTCTGCATGAGGCAGAACGACTGGCCACCTGCCTGAGGAGGCTGGGTCTGACCTCTGGCTCAGGCTGTCCTCCCTGCTGGCTGAGCTCTCTTAGTTCTTTTTTGTTTGTTTTATTTTTGAGTCAGAGTCTTGCTATGTTACCCTCGATGGCCTCGAACTTGAAGAGATCCACCTGCCTCTGCCTCCTGCACATTGGGATTAAATGGGTGTACCACCACACCAGCCCTCCCCCACCAAACTTGGTAAATTCTCTTGGCATGAGAAAAGTGACTTAGGAGTGTGACTGGGCTGTTATGGAAGGGGAGCCACAGGTACACTCCTGGGGTCAAGGCCTCTGTTTCTCCAGGCCCCTGAAAGAGTGACTTTGGTGAGTCACCCTTCCCACCCCCACCACAGCGCCTCCCTTCCCTGGGACAATGTCCCTCTGTGAACATTTACAAGGATGTTTTTCCTTTTCTCTTTCCAAGCCTTTGTTTGTTCTGTCTAGCTTCCCTTTCCCTAATTCTAGCCTTAGGGGACCTTGGGGTGCTGCAGAAGCCCTCTGGGTCTGTATGAGGGTTTGGCTTGGGAGGGATGCCTCCTCTAGCCCACAGTCCCAGAAGTGGTAGAGGGGCTACCTGACTTTAGCAGGGCCTTGAGCCACTGGACAAGAGGCAGGAAGCTGGAGCTGCAGGCGCTGCTGGGTGAGGAGAGAGGGACAGGGCAGCACAGAGGACCACTGGGAGCCAGAGGAGATCTTGTTCTGGGAGTTTAGGTGAAGAGCCAGGTCGGAGGAAACCCACTGGGCAGAACCAGAAAATGGGCACGTGGGATGAGAGACATTTAGGCAGGTCTGCGAGCAGGAGCAGGGTGCAGAAGGAAGGGCTTCTGTTCTGAATTCCTAAACTGGAAGAGGGTGGCTCCCTTGTGGCTGATGTGGCACTGGGGTCATCTGTGTTACTGTGGGACAGTTTGTGAAGGTTGGTGTGGCAGGGACAAGTCGAAGTGGACAGCCTAGCAGGAAATGCGAAGTAGGCCAGAGGCCTGACT